GAGAGAGAGAGAGTGTGTGTGTGTGTGAGAGAGAGAGTGTGTGAGCGTGTGAGAGAGAGAGTGTGTGAGTGTGTGAGAGTGAGTGTGTGTGTGTGTGTGAGAGAGAGAGAGAGAGAGAGTGTGTGTGTGTGAGAGAGAGAGAGAGAGAGAGTGTGTGTGTGTGAGAGAGAGAGTGTGTGAGTGTGTGTGTGTGTGTGTGTGTGTACCTACTTAACCATATTTTGGGGACAAATTTGTTCTCAAAAGTGAGCAAAACCTGACAAAAATCGCCCAAAATCTCCATTTAAGGAAACGTCCTCATTTGTAAAACTGGTATAAAAATAAAGTAAACAAACTTTTTTTGTAATTCTAAAAATGCAGAAAGTTTTCTGTGAGGGGTAGGGGTGGGTTTAGGTTAAAAAGTGTATAACTATCTGTAATGTCCCCATTTAGATAGCTAAGTAAACGTGTGTGTGTTGTTGTTGTTTTTGTTTTGTTTTTTTCAATATGCATGATATTTTAGGAAAAACTTTGGTATTTTTAATTACTTTAAGATGTGTTTAATATTGCTTGTACATAACACATTTATAGTAACAATTTAAGAGGCAAATTATTAGTCTATAATAGCACGCTTCACATCAGAATGATCATGTACCTATGAAAAAATATGTATGAAAAAATATGAATCAAATCAATCTGTTAGACATATAAAGTATGATTTTAATGTTATTGATATTAACTTGTTTGGTCAAATACAATAAAGGTAGTTGACATCCTGGTTAGTGAGTTGCTCTAAAATTATTTGAAAATTGTTTTCTTTAAAGTTTAAATTAAATTGTAATTATCTTACATGCAGTTTTTACGACCTCATTAATTGAGATATTACTTTAAATATTTATTTATTTGACTTTTTGCCATTTGTCACAAAGAAGGACCATTAAGTTGTACTGTATAAGTGATTATTATAGAAAATCTTAAAAGAAAAGGTTACAGCACTAAAACACTTTCTTTTATACATCATTTTAAACATGATATTGAAACATCTGTTTCGTACGTGCTGTGTTGCATAATAAAAAATAAAAAATAAAAACCAAAAAAATAGGAGTGTGGATCTTTCTGTTTCTACTTAAAAAAAAAATTATAAAAATTGAGCGCAGTTTCGTCCTATCTGATTTCAGTCAATCTTGATATTGAAAAAAATTAAAATAATGGACTTGAGATTTGGTATATATGATTGCAGATACGATTTCATTGTACAACAAACTAGAGCATTTTCTTAAAATGTGGACATTCTCCACTAGAGTTCATGTCTTTTATTAATGTGCAAAGTTATAACACAATAATTCGTATCAGCAGTATGTGATCAAGAAGCTGAACCTGAGAACCTCCTCCAGACGTGAGCGGCGAGCCGCGGAGCAGGAAGCGCAGCTCCTCTCACAGCTCAAGCATCCTAACATTGTCACCTACCGGGAATCATGGGAAGGCGAGGACTGTCAGCTTTACATCGTGATGGGTTTCTGTGAGGGAGGAGATCTTTACCACAGACTCAAACAGCAGAAGGGAGAACTGCTGCCTGAGAGACAGGTTGTGGAGTGGTTTGTTCAAATTGCCATGGCCCTTCAGGTAAGTCAACAGCCATCCGTCCATCCATCTGTTCTTTCTGAGTTTGGTAACACTTTACTTGAAGGGGTGTGCATAAGACTGACATGACACCTTCATAATCATGACATGACACATGTCATGAATTTGAAGGAGGTTTTATGCATGTTTATGACAACTGTCATTAAGTGTCATTCGCTCAGTTATGTCATTTTTAATGCAAATATGACATTATTTGGCCTAAACCTACCCTAACCCTACCCCTACCCCTACCCTTACCCCTAACCATAGCCCATAACAAAGACATCTCAAACAATGTCATCTTTGCATTAAAAATGACATAACTGAGCGAATGACACTTAATGACAGTTGTCATAAATATGCATAAAAAACCTTCACATTCATGACCTGTATCATGTCATGATTATGTAGGTGTCATGTCATGATTATGAAGGTGTTATGTCAGTCTTATGCACACCCCTTCAAGTAAAGTGTAACCCTGAGTTTTTAGCTGAATGATAAAGGCGTTACATTTTTGTTGAGCTGTAGTATTTACACGAGAAGCACATCCTGCATCGAGATCTGAAAACGCAGAATATCTTCTTGACCAAGACCAACATAATCAAAGTGGGTGATCTGGGCATCGCACGGGTCTTGGAGAATCAGAACGACATGGCCAGCACTCTGATCGGCACACCTTACTACATGAGTCCAGAACTGTTCTCCAACAAACCTTACAACTACAAGGTACTGCATGGTCACAATGACCTTTAGTACAGCGCTAGATTCAGTCTATGTGAGTACTAGTGTCTATATCAATCTTGGCTAAATCGCGTTTACTGGTTTTAAAAAAAAAACAACAACAGGCAATTCTATTTTGGAATTTATGTTATGTTGTTGTTGTTTTTATTTGACAATTAAACACATCCTCTGTACTAATTCTAAATATCACAATGCAAATTTATTTAAATCAGAAATGTTTCGTAACAAGTTCTTTTGAACTTCCTTTTCATCAAAGAATCCTAAAAACTGTATAATCATGTCCACAAAAAAATATTAAGCAGCACAACTTTTTTCAAATAATAAGAAATGTTTCTGGAGCAGCAAATCAGCATATTAGAATGATTTCTGAAGGATCATGTGGCACTGGAGTAATGATGCTGAAAATTCAGCTTTGCATTACAGTAATAAATGATATTTTAAAATATAGAGCTATAATAATAATATTACACAACATTACAGTTTGTACTGTATTTTGCTCAAATAAATGCAGCCTTGGTGAGCACAAAAGTAATTTGCTAAAATCATTAAAAAATCGTACCGACCCCAAACTTTTGAACAGTGGTATACTTGCGTATATTTTTATTTCAAACATTATTTTAACTGTAAAAGATTACATAATGCTAGTATTTTTATGCTGCCTTAATACCGTACAATATGCTATTTTATAGTAATTTATTAATGAGAATAAAACTGGAATTAGAAAAAAACTCTCAAACTGAAAATTTTAAGACTAAAATCAAAATGGTCCTAAACCAGACCTTTTTTTCCCCTTTTCTTTTCATTTTGGGGTGGCCTAGATATTTTTTTTACCCAGATATTTTGTGTTTTAAATATTAAATCATTATTTTTGTTTGTATGTGTTTGCAGTCGGACGTGTGGGCTCTGGGATGCTGCGTGTATGAAATGGCAACTCTAAAACATGCTTTCAACGCAAAAGACATGAACTCTCTTGTGTATCGGATCGTAGAAGGGAAGGTACATGAATATATTTGTCATCTGTTTCACTGAACTGTAAATATTTGCATACATCAAATCTAAAGAGCTGTTCATTCATAACAGCACATTATTAATGAATGTTTAATGTTCAGTTGCCCCAGATGCCGAGTAAGTACGACCCCCAACTGGGAGAACTGATTAAGCGGATGCTGTGTAAGAAACCAGAGGACAGGCCAGACGTCAAACACATCCTCCGACAGCCGTACATCAAACAGCGGATCTCCATGTTCCTGGAGGCCACAAAAGAGTATGTGCACTCTTTCCTGTTTTTAAAATTGAAATAAAAAAATATTGAAATCGTTTACAATGAACTGTCCTGTTACTGATCTAACAGGAAAACTGCCAAATCACGGAAGAATACAGCAAACGGCAAACCGAACAGTGCCGAATCAGATGCCTTAAACAAACCAAACCATGAAGTTCGGCCACAATGTCTTAACTCTGAGTCAAAGCCCCGAGGAAGAAAGGTAAGATGTCTGCTAAGATTCTAGAAGTCTTCTATGTCTCTGTATGGTATGGTATGGATGTGATCTCATTTCATCTGTTTTTTGTTTTCCCACATTTCATAGGCTGAAGAAAACCACTTGTACCGACAAGAACCCTGTAATGGTGCAGTGGAAAGAGTGGTTCCCAACCCACACTTGCCCCCTAAATCTCCAAGTCGGGATATTCTTAACTCAACAGGTCGATCTACAGCAACCATTAGCAATATAGACATTGAAATCCAAACCCAGGAACAGAAACCACCTCAGCCAAAACCCAGCAGCCATCAGAACCACAAGCTGCCATCTGTGAGCAAGAGGAGAGAGAAAGAGGAGAAAGAAGATCTTGGTCCTGCTCAGACACACCCTCTGAAACAAGTATTAGGTGTCGGCAGAGCGGAGGATAAGATGTCAGCGAATGGACTGCTATCTCCAAACTCAACTACACCCAAACCTGCAGATCGAGCCAAGATGCTAAGCAAGAATAAGGCTCTTGACGTAAGTATGGACCTTAAAGACGATACTATGAAGCTTCTGCAGGAGGCAGGGATGGAGGACATCCCGCATGAGCCTATTGAACAACATCACAAGTTGGAGAGCCAAAGAACTTCATCAGCTAGTGATGATGATCATAGCAGCGCTTGTGTCCTAAAGGATGTTCCTACTGGAAGTTCAACTGAGGAGAGTGAGGTACGTTACTGTGATGGAACCAATCAAAGCTTCTGATAGGTTTGCCTAATCTTAATTCTTAACTCCGTTAAAGTCCCACTTACGCTGATGGACATCAATATATATTATGATCTGTGCTAAAAGAAAGATTTAAAGGGGTAGTGTACCAAAAAATGAAAATGTTGTCATCGTTTACTTACCCTTATGGTGTTCCAAACCTGTATGATTTACTTTGGAGCATAAAATAAGATATTTTGATACAAATACAATGGAAGTCAGATGTCATCAAAACAGTTTGGTTACCATTATTCATCAAAATATCTCCATTTGAGTTCCGCATAAGAAAGAAAGTCATGCAGGTCTGGAACAACAGGAGGGTGGGTAAATGATGAGAGTTTTCAGATTTGAGCAAAATATTGTCTCGATTTATTGAATGATTGTGCTTATATTTACTCTAAAGATGATGTATTTATTGTCCTTCATATTCCAGGGAAGTTTAGACTCCACAGAGAAACTACTCAAGCCTGTTCCTGTAATTTTAATGGTAAAATACTGGTGTACATTTATTTATGCGTGTCTGCATTTATTTATTTATTTGCTTGCTTGCTTATTGTGTTTTTATTTTTTTTAATAATTAAAAAATGATTATTATACATTAAAAAATATTTACTTATTTGTTCATATTATTATTATTATTAAATCCTTTAACACCTGATAATAAAACACAAGTGTTTTTTAAACTGGCTATTCAAATGCAAATTACATATTCTAATCATTAGTTTATTATTGTTGTTGCTGTATATTAACTAAACTACAGGTGCATCTCAATAAATTAGAATGTCGTGGAAAAGTTCATTTATTTCAGTAATTCAACTCAAATTGTGAAACTCGTGTATTAAATAAATTCAGTGCACACAGACTGAAGTAGTTTAAGTCTTTGGTTCTTATGCGCATTTTTTTTTTCTTAAATACTTTTTTGGAAATACTAAAGATGAATATGACCACATTGTGATTAATATGGGACTATTCTTTTGAAACAAATAGAGTCAGTATGTATGCTAGATTTCAAACTGTTCACTTTTAGTTGAATTGAAGAGGGTCTGACTTTAATTCTGTTAAAGTGGCCTCAAGAGCCATAACACCCTTAAGAACCGTTTTGGTGGATCAAAGCGAGACGTTTCTGCATGTGTCCATTAGAATGCATAAGAGACTGTAGAGCCGCCCGCTATGATCAAAGCCCACAGGTGCTGCATACATGAATTCAGATTAAAGGAGATTTTGTACAGTTTCACTGAATGTGATCCCTTCGTTTCTTTTCTTTGAAGCTGTGTCCGCAGTCCCCTCATTAGACGGTAAGCAGACAGACCAGCTAGACTGCCCAAGACCTGAAAGAACATCTGTGGAAACTAAAAAGGTACGTCTGATCCTTCTCGCTGACTCAGGACGGACTGTCAAACACGATACGAGTATAGACTATGACCATTTTTATAAGAAAGTTATGTCATTTACTCATGACTTTTTTTCTTCTTCGGAACATAAAACAGGATATTTTGAGAAATTAACAGGACCTTCTATACATGATAACCTTAGAATGTCAGTTCTTGGCTATTCGGTCAAAAGGGCTCTTACCTGGACTGTTTTGGTTCTCGTTTGAGTATCAGGAGAGACAGTCTGATGAAGATGAGTGTAGTTCCTCCACCAGCTCCACTGAACGTTCAGAGGGCGACTACAGAGAACGGTAAGACCTCCCACTAATTTGTACTCTAATGAGCCGCATTTATGTATGTTAAAATTCTGTTTAATGACTCAGTTGGGCCATAATTGGTGTCATGTTTGTCGTATAAACGTATTAAGTGTATTGCCAATATTCCTTTTTCTAGAAATCTGAATTTGTTCTTTGCATCATTTCCTGCCATCTCTCTACTTTCCCTGTCAGTAAAAGTGACTAAAAGAAGGCTATAAAACACAGATTTTTTTCTTCTCACAGAAAGCGTGAGACCAGTGAGATGCAAGACTTGGTCCAAATGATGACACAGACGTTACATATGGATGCCAGAGATGTATCATTTGAGCCTGATGGGACAAGATGCCACTCTACTCCACTGCCTGAGTTCAAACTAAACCGGAAGTACAGGGACACCCTGATGCTTCATGGGAAATCCAGAGAGGGACAGGGAGATTTCCAGATCAGAGGCTTCCCAGGTAATAACTTACCTGATAAATGTTTCGGGGTTTTATTTTTTTATTATTTTAAGTAATTCTGCATTTTTAGTCTGGTGACAGAATCCATCATGTTTCTAATTTTGTGTGTTTAGACGACAGCACGGGTCCAGCAAAGGTCAGGAGAGTGATGGAGCACTTGCGTACAGATGTGGTTAAAGGACTCGGGGTGAAGCTATTGGACAGAGTCCTGGACATCATGCAGGAAGAGGATGAAGACAAGAGAGAGGCAAGTTGGCTAAAGTCTCATTGTACATTAGAAATAAACAAAAGAGTCTATTCTAATGGGGCATTGATCAGAATTTTTCAGTACCGACAATGAGTCTCGTTCACTAACCATGATGCACATTTTCACATAAAAAAAAAAATCATGATTCATCAATAACTTAAGTACTAAAATTTATTCTAAATTACATTTTCTAAAAAAAAAGGTGGAAAAAAAAATCATACTCTCGGTGGCCTTATAAATGTGTTTAGATGAAATTTTGACATCGATATTTCATCTTAAATATGTTTAATCATATTTATGTTGACGTTATATAGCTTAAGTTGTGAATTTCAAATGGTTGCATAAAAACAATTTGCATATGTACAAGAAGTTTGGAGGATGGATGGATGGATGGGTCACTCATTTTGAATACTTCCAAGTACATTTAACAGGAGAATAAATTCATGTGCATATGCAGATGTCGTGAATTAAGCAGCATTTTTGTCGTGAGAAGTTCTCCTGTGCACAGAAATACAAATATTCCCATTCATCTGGGGGAAGTCATGGCCTAATGGTTAGAGTCGGACTCGTAACCCAAAGGTTGCGGGTTCGAGTCTTGTACCGGCAGGGATTGTAGGTGGGGGGGGGACTGAATGTACAGCGCTCTCTCCCACCTTCAATACCACGACTGAGGTGCCCTTGAGCAAGGCACAGAACCCCCAACTGCTCCCCGGGCGCCCCAGCATAAATGGTTGCCCACTGCTCCGGGTGTGTGTTCACGGTGTGTGTGTGTTCACTGCTGTGTGTGTGCACTTTGGATGGGTTAAATGCAGAGCACTAATTCCTAGTATGGGCCATTTGGTTTCGCCACATGTCACTTCACTTTACTTTACAGAGTACTATAGTTACATTTAAATGAGATGCATTTATATTGAAAACATTGTTTTTCTAAATGTACAAAAAAAAATTGAATACTACATAAATAGCAGTTAGGCTGAGATTTTTATCTAATTTTTGCTCTATCCAGCACCTACTGCAAGAGCAAATGGGGGAGGCAAAATACAAGCAGTACGCAATGAAAGTCCAACAGCTGAAGTTCTTTGAGGACGTCGCATTCAAAGACTGAGCCACCTGCACACGAGGGATCTCTCGTCAAACCATTACTGCTGACGGGCAGCAGACTTCATGCTCTTAAAAGATAAAACACTTCATTGAAGCCTCCCATCAACAATCACTGTTGCTTTTTAATGCTTTCGTAAATGTGTAGAACTAGAAGCGAGTTAAACGCCAGATATGCAAAAAATGCTGTTATCGTGCACCTTTAAAATACAGGAAAGCATTATTTTAGGATATCATTGGAAATGTGAACCTATGCTATGTAGATAGCCATCTTGAATCGCAAAAGAGATGTTAGAAATATTTAACTTTTTTTCTGGAATGTGTATTTATATTACGAATAATGTAAATCAATAAGGCATGATTTATAATAAATGACATTTTTAGGAACCCCGTGCTTTCTCGTGCTCTAACAAACCAAAGTCAAACTCAAAAAAAAAAAGGTGCCACGTGTACCAAACACAGTTCTTTATTACATAATGAATGCTCAACAACTTAATAGGATAAGTTTGTTTCTGCTGTTTATCTAAATGGCTTTACTGTGCCAAATGGAAACTACAATATTGCCGTGAATCACTTGTGCTTCTTCTTCTTCTCTTGAGGTTTGTCACGATTTTCTCCAGATGCCTCCGGCACAGCCGGCTGCCACTTCAAAGCATTTTTTCTGTACATTGGCCAGGGAGGCAGGGTGAGCTGAAGAACAAGAGTTTATTGTTATTCTTATTTTCACTATTAACTTTACATTAAGCAAACAGAAGTCGTATGACATACAAAACATGATACTGTGAATCCAGCCAGCATGATGTAAACTGTCCATCCAAACTGCTGAATAAATAAGCCATAGATGAAGCCGATCACCTGCAGGGAAAACAGACCTGAGGCAGAGCAGAAATGACACAATGCTAGTAAAGTACAAGTGCTGCCAGTGTTACTTACTGCGGACACCAGAATGATTCCTTGGAAAATTTGCTCAGCAAGTTTCTGTCCTTTATAGTCCTGCAAATAGACATTGTAAATATATATATATATATATATATATTCTTGTTGCTTTTAGGTCATGTAGTAAATTAAATAAGTTGATCTAAGATAATTAATCTATTCTCAGTTTGCTTTCTAATTGGTATTAGAAACTTTCAAGCTGTAAAGACCATGCATAAGATATACAATTTATCTTGGTGTAGGTTTTGCAATAAATACAACAACAACAAAAAAAAGATAGTGTTCCATTTTAAAAGTTGCAAAGTCTCATAAATGTATCATCTGCTAAATGTTTTATCACAATTACTGCCAATGACAAAACTCCCAAAGCTGCTGAGTGCACACTTAATTCACTTTGGCTCCGATACCAGCACTAACTAGTTGGTGTTACTGTGTTGATTACTGCAGCAAAATATTACTAAAAGATTGATTTTATATAATTCATATTAATATTAACAGGTCCGTCGCTAATACGTAAGCTGCTAACATATGCAACTATGTTGTTGAAGCTCTAAACACCAGCAACCTCACAATATTAAAACATGCATGCAAAAAAACGTGGGCTTACCATATGCGTCGGAATGGATTTAAACGCTGAAAGCATTTTGAAATATCAAAATAAAGCCGCAAGGTGATATTATTGAGATGAGAGTGATGGTTTCCTGTTTGAAAGTGTGTACGCAGAGATCCGCGGCAGGACCCCTTCCACATGCGTCCGATCTGCGCAGATCAGTGGGAACATACGTCTTGTGACTGAATACTACATCTCTCAGTGCGACTGTGGCTTAAATAATAAGATAATAAGCGCGCAACGCAGTCTCCGTGCGAGTATAAATTCAAATAAATGTATGTTTTTAGTCAGGCAGTAATCTAGACGCACGCTTCATGTCATCGGCCGCTGAAATGATCAGATCTGTAACTCATAGGAACCATGAGCCGGAAGGATTTGGTTTCATGTCAGTTATTCGAGTCTTTTGTATCATTTCACTCTTTTTTTCTTTGGTTCGTTTAGTGACCCATTTTGCAGGTTAAATCGTTACGCTATTAGGACAAGCGAAAGTTTTGAGTCAATGAATCATTCACTCATTCTTTTCTTAAAGGGATAGTTCACCCAAAAATGAAAATGTGATGTTTATCTGCTTACCCCCGGGGCATCCAAGATGTGACTGTTTCTTCAGTAGAACACAAACTGAGATTTTTAACTCCAGCCGTTGCAGTCTATCAGTCGTATAATGCATGGCAATGGTAACAAAATCTACGAGAGTAAAAAAAACATGCACAGACAAATCCAAATTAAACCCTGCGGCTCGTGACGACACATTGATGTCCTAAGACACGAAACGATCGGTTTGTGCGAGAAACCGAACCGTATTTATATCATATTTTACCTCTTAATACACCACTATGTGCAACTGTCTTTGAGCGCGCGCACTGCTTCCGGTGCGTGAGGTGTGTACGCGCTCTGGCGTAGTTTACGTTAATGGGTGTTGTCGCGGGAGGAGCAAACGTAATACACCACTATGTGCAACTGTCTTTGTGCGCGCGCACGGCATCCGGTGCGTGAGGAGTGTTTATGCGCTCTGGCGTAGTTTATGTTAATGGCTGTGTTGATATCCAGCAGAAGAGCAATCAACCATAACTTCAGGCGAGCAGGCTCAGAAGTTGGGAATACGTGGAAAGTCAGCACTCCCGAATGAGTTCGCGCGAGAGAACGTAATCTTTTAGTTTTAAGTCGGTTTGAACAATCCGGATAAGCGCAAGTAAGTACCATTTTGATTAGCTGTCGTACCTACAATGACTGTGCACTGTGTAACCAATGAGTGACATATACGCGCGAGAGATCACTTCCGGCGCTTGTGTAAACTACACCAGAGCGCGTACACACCTCACGCACCGGAAGCAGTGCGCGCGCTCAAAGACAGTTGCACATAGTGGTGTATTAGAGGTAAAAAATGATATAAATACTGTTCGGTTTCTGGCACAAACCGATCGTTTCGTGTCTTAGGGCATCAATGTGTCGTCACGAGCCGCAGGGTTTAATTTGGTGTTGTCTGTGCATGTTTTTTTACTCTCGTAGATTTTGTTACCATTGCCATGCATTATACGACTGACAGACTGCAACGGCTGGAGTTAAAAATCATCATTTGTGTTCTACTGAAGAAACAAAGTCACCTACATCTTGGATGCCCCGGGGGTAAGCAGATAAACATCACATTTTAATTTTTGGGTGAACTATCCCTTTAAATACACCGAATCATGGTCGAAACAAGTCTTGTTGTCATATTTTCATTCCGTACTTTGCTACATACTTTATTTGCATGGTAAAAAGTCTGCACATTGCCAAACATTGGCTACAGACATACACATCTGCACACAGTAAAAAAAAAAAAAAAAAAAAGTTTGATAAAATAGTAACATTGAGAAAGAAACCTCTCCGAGTCGCATTCAAGACTCCAAACAATCGACTCGTTCTGTGAAGGGGGCGGTTCGTTTACTGGCTCAAGCCAATGAAATGCTCCTTCACAGACCACACTCGAATTCTATTGGCTCTTGTTGCTGTCAGTCTTTGGAAGGACAAAAGCGGACGAGTCAGTACATGGAAGTTTAGGAAATGTCGTTCACTTAGAAAGATTCCCTCGCGGGGGTTGTGCTCTGTCACTGTAGCATATGTTTCAGTGAAAGCCAGGTCTTCTCGGCGGTGGAGGACTGTGCCGGACTCGAGGTAACTGGACTTGTTGATGTTGAGTTGGCGTTTTGGATGAAGAGCCGAACAGAGTCCAGACATTATAACTTAAGCAGGTTTGTACACCGGCAGTTTTCACGCTTTTGCCTTTTAACAGTTTTCAAGTTGCTTCTTTGTCAAAATGCATTTTGTTTGTATATGCAGTATTTTTTTTCCCTTGTGTGATTTAAATTTAAATTTTGCTTCTTTTATATTCCACTTAGTCCTCAGTTAAATACACAGTTCTGTTGTTTTCTTTGCTGTTTACTAATTTAGTGTTTGTTTTGATCCAGAAATGTGCTGTTGATCGAGTGCCATGACTATACGCAGATGTGAATATATTTTAATATTGTTATAGTTAAACACACACACATTATATATTGATATATACATTGTATGCACACACACATATATATATAAACACACACATATACATTGTATGTGTGTGTATTTATACAGTGGTGTGTATACAGTTTTTTAAATGAAGGTTTTTATTATTAAGGGAAAACAAAATCCAAAACTACATGGCCCTGTGTGAAAAAGTGTTTGCCCCCCTGTTAAAACTGTGGTTTATCACACCTGAGTTCAATTTCTGTAGCCACACCCAGGCCTGATTACTGCCACACCTGTTCGCAATCAAGAAATCTCTTAAATAGGGCCTGCCTGACAAAGTGAAGTAGACCAAAAGATCCTCAAAAGCTAGACATCATGCCGAGATCCAAAGAAATTCAGAAACAAATGAGAAAGTAATTGAGATCTATCAGTCTGGAAAAGGTTATAAAGCAATTTCTAAAGCTTTGGGACTCCAGCGAACCACAGTGAGAGCCATTATTCACAAATGGCAAAAACATGCAACAGTGGAGAACCTTCCCAGGAGTGGCCGGACGACCAAAATTACCCCAAGAGCACAGCAACGACTCATCCAAGAGGTCACAAA